CACTGCTTGGCCACACTGCCCTGGCTTCAGGAACTATGAAGTATGGGATTGTACATGGATGGTACTGAGCCCATGCAGGTGTGCGCGATTGAAGAGGAGGGTAGAATGGATATTTTGGAGCCAGCATGACCTAAAAGGGGCACAGTGCAGGGTGCACAGTACCACGAGAAGGAATAACCCATGAGAGGCATGTATGCTGGCCAAGTAAAGAGGAGATGGTGATTGTTAAGGAAGTCAGGATAATTTTGTAATTGTGAGGGTGCGTAAATGCAGCCCCCACTTCAGGGACTTACCGGGGCAGTTCAGCATTGGGCATCATACATTTCATGTCACTATGAAACACTATAAGCATGACTCCATAAAACCAAATGGCAAAAAGTAGCAGAGGTTAGATCACCTTGCAAGGATTCCTTATGATGCAGTGACTCAAAAAGTCAAAAAGGCTAAGAATTATAACATCAAATGGCCAGTATACAATGAACTCACGGGAAACTGCTGATTGATTCCACAATAAGGAGCATTCCTGCGCCATTGCACACGCACCCGTGTGTGAGTGTCTGCGTGAGGAAGCCAAGCAAACATTCATTCAACAGAGTGTCCTCTTCCCTCAGAGACTCCAAGAGCAGTTTCCCTGCCAGGGACACACAGTGCACCTCTGATGAACCTCGGGGACTTGCAGTTTGCTTTACTCAGTTATATTCTCTTCTATCCTGAATATTACCCTCTTTCTTTCTACCTCTGTTTCTCTCTCTAGTATAATAGCTTAAAATATACTTTAAATTATCATAATAATAACAATAAAGTACTGGTAGAAATAAAATATAGTCATGATACAAAACTAATAATAATAGTTATCAGAAAACATAAGAATGTACATATCTTTTAAAATGGGTTATTTTACCTTTTTTTGGCCCTTTCCCGGAAGTGAAAAAACTGGGTCACATGGCATTTCAACTTTTAGTTTTTATATTTTTGATAATCTTTCCATTTATTGGTGGTCAGGAAACTGAATTACTGTTTTCATATACTGCACCACTTTGATGTATGTGTATACATATATGTATGTATGTATGTATGTATGTATGTATATATGTATGTATGCATGTATGTATGTGTGTGTGTATTTATCTGCTTATATTGAGGGGTAAATCATACATGCTGAGTTTGTATAACACAGTTAACAGTTAATAATTATCCACATGTAAACAATATCATTAAGAACCAATGATTCCCTGTATAAAGAATTAATAAAATATAATTAAATTTCTTTAAGATGATAAAACAGGCCAAAGTAAATTTTTTTTATATTGACTGTTAATTCTGACTGAATTTTGTTTTTGTTTTTAAACATTTAAATCTAGGTGATATTTCAAATTACAAACATAGATCATGCTAGTGTTTTTATAGCATTTGACTTCTTATTATGTAGGAAAGACCCAGAGACAATACTTTTAATTTTCTTTATGCTTTATCCAAATGAAAAATGAGAGAACAAATTGCATTCTGTGGCCAATTTATTTATTCATGTATTCAACCGATATTGAAGAACTGCCATTTAGCCAGCACTGTTCTAGCCATTTGGCTAGTCCAGGGTATAAAACAAAAGCCCATTACGAAGTTTAAATGCTCATGGATACAATGACAACAGACTGTAAATGTGCTTCATAAGTTTATTATTATTTCACCTAAAAGGTGAAAAGTGATTGCACAGAAATGAAAAGAGACCCAGTCGGGAGGACCACACATTTAGGGAGTGGATGATAGTACTGAGATGGTAAATGCTCAGGGATAGGCTTACGGGGTAAGGTGCCTTTTGAGACAATACTGAAGCTGAGTAAAAAATATGGAAATGAACACTTTGAGACATTACAGGGAGTTAAGGTCACTCAATATACTGGACATCATCAGCCTACTGTAACAAATAAATGCCCACTGTGTAAAGCATGCCCACGTCCAAAGCTGGTTGGGTGTCCTTTGACTTTAATTGTGAGTATGCACCCTTAGCTTTCACTTATGATGAGTCTCCGTATAAATGTGTTTCAGATTTTCACAGCTGCATTTTTTAGTTCTTACTTATTGATTTACTTTTTATTTTCAGGTAAAAGGGGAATCCATAATGGGACGTGAGAATCACACTTGCAGCAGTGACTTCATTCTTTGGGGACTCCTCCTCTTCCCAAACAAGCCTGGTTTCTCCGCCCTTACACCCATCGTTTTCCTGCTGGCTGCAGCAGAGAGCACAGTCAGGACCCTCCTGACCCGCAGGGACCCGCGCCTCCGCACCCAGTGTGTTCCTGCTCAGCCGTCTCTCTGTTATGGGGATCTTGCTCGGCAGCAACATCGTTCCCCAAATGGTCGCCAACTTTCTGTCAGGCAGCAGAGCTGTCCCACTCGCATGCTGCGGCTTCCAGCTGTTTCTGAGCCTCACGCTCCTGGGGGGCACGCGCCCTCCCTTGGCGGCCGTGCCTTAGGGCCGGGGTGTAGCCTCCGCCACCCGCTGCGCCTCCCCGCAGCTCACGGCTGCAGGGTGCTGGCGATCTGGGACCGTCAGCGCCCTGAGCCACCCAGCTCACGCCCTCCACGGCCCCTTCTGCGGCCCAAGGGCCATCGGTCACTTTCTCTGGGAAGTCCCTGTCGTGCTGAAGTGCCCTGTGAGGACACAACACGCTGCGAACGAGGGGTTTCCACAGGTGGGACCATTTCCCTCCTCGTCCCTTTCTCCCTGGTTTCTGCTGCTTACATGCAAGTTCTCCTTACTGTCCTCCACATTAAATCACCAGAGGCAGGGAAAAAGCCATTTTCTACGTGTTCCTTCCACGTGGCTGTGGCCACAATGTACTAGGGGCCGTGTATTTCCTCATGTGTGAGACCTAAGTCGCACCGCCCTCCAGGGCAGGTAAGTCCCCGGCGGTACTGTGCACCGTCCTTACACCCGCACTCAGCCCGATCATGTGGAGCTTTGGGAATAAAGACGCTCCGGAGGCAACGAAAAATAGGCTCAAAAGGAACTCTCTCCATAAAAAATAGTAGAAAACATAATTGATGTGTGTGCTGTCTCTGTATCTATACTCAATGCTTAAAGGATATCCATGATTCATATACATGGAAAAAAATATCAGGTTTCCCTATCTTCTAGTGTGGAAAAGTCATGATATTTCCAAAACCCTGATAATAAGTAAAGTTCTCACACATATTTGTTTTATAAACACTTACATCTAAAAAGGCAGTGCTCTCTCTCTGGTACCAATTAAAATCACCAAAGTCACTCATTATTAAGAAATCAGAATGACCCACATCTTCCATTTCCCTTCCACTAAAATTATAAAAATCTGTAAAAGTAATAATACAATATGTTATATAGGATGTAATTATTATATATGCATATATAAATAGAAAAACATAACTTCTATCTTTCTGTGGAACAGTACAATTATATTTTAAACTCTGTAGTTATTAAAAATTCATTAAAATTCACAGGTAAAATGAGTGAAGGAGGGTTAAAAGATATAAATTTCCAGTTTAAAAGTAAATATATCCTGGGGCTATAGTAAACATTATGGTGACTCAATTTAAAAATGCTGTGTATATTTGGAAGTTGCTAAATGAGTAGATTTTAAAACTTTTCATCACAGGAAAATAAATTGTAACTATGTGATGATATATGTTAGCTAAATGCATAGTGGTAATCATTTCAAATACATACATATGTCAAAGTATATACCTTAGTTTTAGGTACTAGTTTTGTACAATATTATATGTTAAATATATCACAATAAAAATTAAGTGTGTGTTATTTATATTATTAAATATACTTTATTTAATGTTAAATTATCTTAGGCAATTTACTCCACAAATGATTGCAAAGTAGCAAATGTTTCTACTAAATTAAATGGCTTTATTAGTAGAAAAAACTAGAAAACCACATATAATGGGAGTAGATATTTATTATGACTAACTAAAGATTTTATATTAAATAAATACAATAAAACATTTAATAGAAAGTATGACGATATTACGTAAAATCTTAATGAGTAAAAGGCACTGTTTTGTCTTTTACAATTGAAGTTTATAAAGCAATAAGAATAAATATTACTAAAGTTTTCTTATAATATACTCTAGGTGGGCATTAAATATGAAACAAACATTTAAAAGAACAATTTGGTAATACATATTAAGAACCTTGAAAATGTTATTGTTATCATCTACTAATGGTACTTTTCAATGATGATGATGTAGACATGTAGTAATCAATTATTAAGTACTAATTAAAATTTTCATGCATGGAAGTTGGGATTTTCTTACTTGCTTTCTTCCCTGTAATCCTCTCCTAGACCTGGTGAGCTAAGGACTTTTATGTCAGTAGAGAAAGAGAAGAAATTTGCTAACATAATAATATATCATATTGTTGCTAAAAGCACAAATTGACTGGAGATTTCTAATATTTTGTATTAGATGCATCACATGCTGTACATTTTTTCCAGATTATCAAAATAAAATTGACATCAACATTGTGCAGTTTAAGGTGTACATGTATGGATTTGATACACTTATATATTACAAAATGATCAACCCCTTGGTGTTAATACCTTTATCACATCACTTAATTGCCAAAAATAACATTTACTTGGCAAATCTCAAGTATAAATAAAACATCACTAGCTATAATCACCATGGTGCACAACGGGTCTCAAGAACTTACTCATCTTGTGACTGGAGGTGTGTAATGGGGGACCAGCCTTAGAATGTTTCCCCTACTCCGCAGAACCTGGTGACCATCATTCTATGTGTTTCTATGAGTCTAGCTTTTTCAGATTCCACATACAAGTGATAGCATACAGTACTTCTCTTACTCTGTCTGAATGTTTTCACATAGAACAGCGTTCTCAAGGTTCAGGCAGGTTGTCGCCAATGGCTGGATGTTCTTTCTCATGGCCTAAAGATGTTCCATTATATATATAGACATATATATGATACATATGTTATATATGGTAACACACATACTATATGTATATATGTTGATATCGCCATATATATATCACTGCATAGTATACATAATTTCTTCATTAATTCACTTGTTGACAGACACATTGTTTTTGTGTCATATCTTAGGTTGTTTATGTATCTTAGGTTGTTTTTATACCTTAGTTTGTTTATATATCTTATATCTTCATTATTGACTATCTCAGCAATGAACATGAATAACTGATATTTCTGTGAGTCCCTGTTTTCATTTTATTTAGATGTATACCCATAATTAGAATGTCTGGATCATAATATTGTTGTATTTTAATTTATTTTTAAGGACTACCATTACTTTCCATAGTGATCAAAACAACTCACATTCCCAAACTAGGACAAGTGTTTCCTTCACGTTTACTAACATTGTCTTGGGCCTTTTTGATGACAGCAATTCTAACCGGTGTGAGATGATACCTCACTGGGGGTTTTTGTTTGCATTTTCCTAATGATTACTGACATTAAACAATTTTTCACATTCCTGGTGGTCATTTATATGTCACTTTTGGGAAAAAAAGCTTATTCAGTTCCTATGCTTATTTTTTCATCAGCTTGTTTGCTTTTTGCTATTGAGCTGTATTAGTTCTTCATAAACTCTGGATATTAACCCCTTAACAGATATACATGGCTTGCAAATATGTTCTCCCATTCCTCAGGTTGTCTATTAATATTGCTGATTATCTCTTGTGCTGTGCACAAGCTTTTCAATTTGAAATAGTCAGACATTTTTTTTTGCTTTTGAAGTTTGTGCTTTTGGTGTCCAGCGTAGGAAGTACAGACAAAGCCGAAAGTTCTTCCCTAATGTTTTCTTCTTAGGATTTTATTGTTTATTATGTTTAAATCAGTAATCCATATTGAGTTTAGTGTGTGACTGGTGTAATCTAGGGGTTCAATTTCATTCTTCTACATGGGGTTATTAAGTTTTCCCAACACAATTTATTGAAGACAATTTCCTTTACCCATTGAGTATTCTTGGAACACTTGTCAGATATAAGTTGACCACATATGTCATATATGTGAGGGTTTATTTCTGGACTCTTAATTCTGTTCCATTGATCATTATATCTGTTTTTATTATGCCAGTGTCATATTGTTTTGATTACTATAGCTTTGTACTATATGTTGATACCAGAAAACATGATGCCTTCATTTTTGTTCTTCTTTCTCAAATTTGCTTTGGATATTTGGAGTCCCTTGCAGCTCAATATAAATTTTAGGATTTTTTTCTATCTCTATGAAAAATGCCATGGGAATTTGAGGGATTGCCTTCACTTTAGAGTGTTATGTGTAAGACAGAGATTTGATACTATTAAATCTTCCAATTCATGAATATGGGCTAACTTTCCATTTCTTTGCATCTCCAGTTTTTTTTATCAAACTCTTAGTTTTTCAGTGTATATTTCCTTCCTTATTATCAACATCCCCCACCACAGTGTACATTTGTTACATTTGATGAACCTACATTGACACATTATAACCACCCAGTCTACAGTTTACCTTAGGGCTCACTCTTAGTGTTGTACATTCTGTGGATTTATACAAATGTATAACACCTTGTATCCATCACTGTGGGATGGGTGGATGAAATAGGTGAAGGGGATAAAAAGGCACAAAATTCCAATTATAAATTAGTCAAGGGAATGTAAATACCGTAGGGAATATAGTGAATAATATTGTAATGCCTCTGCATGTTGACCCTTATTGTAGGGAGCATTAAAAAATGTAGATAACTGTAGAATCACCATGTTGTACACCTGAAACCCATATAGTATTCTTTGTAAACTATACTTCAGTAAGAAATAATATACAGAGGTTTCACTGCCTTAAAAATATTCAGTGTTCTACCTGTTCATCCCTCCCACCTCCCCCAATCTCTTTCTCCATAGATTTACCTTTTCTTGAGTGTCATACAGTTGGAGTAATACAGTATGTGACCTTTTCAGATTGACTTCTCTCACTTAGTAATATTCAGTTAAGTCCATCCTTGTTTTTTTCACAGCTTCATAACTCATTTCCTTTTTAGTGCAAAATAATATTCCATTGTCTGGACGTACCATGGCTTATTAAGGCATTTGCCTACTGAAGGACATCTTGGTTGCTTTCAGGTTTCGGCAGTTATGAATAAAGCTGCTGAAAACATTTGTGTGAGATATTTTGTGGGCATAAGTTTCCAACTCCTTTGGGTCAATACCAAGGAGTGTCATAGGTATATTGCATGGTAAGAGTTTGGTTAAAAAAAAAAGCCTAATTCTCTTCCAAAGTGGCTGTAAGATTTTGAATTCCTACTAGCCCTGAATTAAGAGTTCCTATTTTTCCACATCCTGGCCTGTATTTTGTATTATCAATGTTCTGGATTTTGGACTTTCTAATAGATATGTGGTGGCATTTTAATTTTTTCTCAGTTACACTTTCCTTATGACATGCATTGTGGAACACTTTTCCACATGCCTACTTGCCGACTGTATATCTTCCTGGGCATGGTGACTGTCAATGTGTCTGCCCATTTTTTAAATCACAGTGTGTGTTTTCTTATAGGTGATTTTAAGAGAACTTTAATATATTTTGGGTAACAGCTGCAGCTTTTGCTGTGACTTGCTTTCTTATTCCCTTGACACATCACAGACTTTCACAGAGCAGAAGTTTTCAATGTTAATGAAGCCCAACGTTCTCATTATTTTTTCATGGATCATGCCTCTAGTATTGTATCTAAGTCAACAACATATCAAGATTGGCTAGGTTTTCCTGTATGTTTTCTTTCAGGAATTTTATGTTTTTGTGGTTAACATTTAAGTCTGTGATCCATCTTTAGTTAGTGTTTGAAAAGTG